AAAGGATTTCATTAATTAGAGAAAAAGGAATACAAAGGGGAGGTAACCTCTCTTATCCCCCCCACACAAGAAACATTGCAGAAAATTACAGTTGAGCCCAAAAGGAGTTTGCACATCTCTTAACCCAAGCTACTTTAACTTCCATTTCTTTTTTCAACCACTTGAATTTTTTCTTCTCATTGCTATACATCCACAAGCCAGTTTTATCTCCCTTTAGCCAATCTATCACCAGCTTAGAATCTCCTTTGATGATCAGCTTCCTCAAGTTTAAGTCCTTAGCTCTTTGAATACCTTCTAAAGCTGCCAAAATCTCAGCTTTAAGAGAGTCACCCTCTTCAATTGGGCCTGAGAACAAAGAAGTTATTTTCCCTTTTCCATCCCTTTTCCATCCCCAATACCCTAAGGCCCTGGGTTACCAATGCTGCTTCCTTCAAAGTTCAATTTATAGAATCCACTTGGAGGGGGGACCAAGTTGGAACTGAAACCTCTTGAACCGGGGCTGAAAAGGCAATTTCTTTCCATTTTCTTGACAAATCATCTATTGAGACATTGTTGAAGAGATCCATTGATTTAAGCCAATGGAATACCTTGGAGCAAATCACCTCCTGAATGGTTTCCTTATTCCTCTCCTTCATTGAAAAAATTCTGGAATTCCTTTCTTCCCAGACAGTCCAAACAACAACTCTCACACAACGCCACATTATTCTTCTCCTTTTCTTTGGCAATCTAGAAAAGGAAGGAGCAAACAAACTTTTAACATCTGGTGGTGGGGCCCACCTGCATCCAAACAAAGAAGAAAACTATTCCCATAAACCTTTAGCAAATGAGCAAGAGATCAATAAATGGTAGTAATTCTCACCATCAACCTTACAAAGACAACACCAATAAGGATACAAACAACTCTTTGTTCTTTTTATTTGAAGCACATCACAGGTGTTGATTCTTTCCAAGTAAGCTTCCTAGCAAAAACAACCAATCCTAGGAGGGATAGGTTTTCTCCACAACTCTTTAACAGGAAAAGGTAGACTCCCAATAGTATCCGGTTGGGTTAGGGTTTTGAAAAAGGAAGAGCAAGTAAACAAACCATGAGTAGTGGGGGTCCGGATTCTTCTATCAGCTTGAAGTGGGTCCAAGTACACCCCATCAAGTACGCTCAAGAGAGACAAAGTACTACTTAACTCAGCATCCCTAATAGCCCTTCTTAAACCCAAATCCCAACCAAATCCAGAACCAGAATTGTAAGGAACTAGGAAGGTAGAGATAGGCTCATTTTTATAAAGCGGCAAAGCCGACTACTATCAATATATTGTTCTTAGTAGTCGACTACTATCAGTATACTATTCCTAGTTGTCGGTTACATGATGAAGAGGTTTCCTAGTAGTCGACTACTGGGACACTATTGTAATTTTATCTCTTGTACTTTGATTGCCCTAATATATAATAGAATGGCTAGCACTGCTAGCACACTTTTGAGCCTTTCTCACATTGTTTCTCTCTTTTTTTCTCTTTTTTGTCTTCTTGGAAAACAAAAACAATATTACTTCTTTTGTTACTTGCAAAATATGTGGTTCTACATTACTTTGATAGTTGACAAACTTCACACTATAGACTAGAACTAAGCAAAGGCTCAAACAAACTAGAAAACAAAAACATCAGTGGACCAAAAGACACATGCCCAAGACGGTGATGCCACAATTTCAATTGACTTAGTTTCTTATCATGATAGGACTCAAATTGACACATTAACCCTAACTTTGGAGACTGATAAAGAAGATAAACTCCATCGGCCTGATGTCCATTGCCATTTGTCTTCCTGTACTCAGATCTTGAAAGACACAATAAGATGGAATGAAGGTTACATAACAGTTATGAGATTTGGTAAGGGAACTAATAAATATAAGATTTTTATGCAATTGTGGAACTTGGAATACAGAGTTCAGAGTTGTTGGTAAGTTTAACTTCACCCAAACCTGAGATTGGAGTCTGAGATCCATCAATAATGGTAATGTTACCTTTCACTGAAAATAATCTATAAGTGGTTAAGTAGGAAGGCATATCGGTCATATGATCATTGGCTCCTTTGCAGTACTATAGTACCTGATTTTGCAAAGGCACTGGAAGGTGTATGTGAACCAGCAGATGTAGACAACCCACTCTTTACGTTGAAGTAAGATGCCTCTTAGTTTGTTCATCACATTGGAGGTGTCATGAGTAGGTGCTTGAGTAGGAGGATTTCCCTTAAGCATATTCGTCTGAGAATCATGACTACCTGTAGCAACATGAGCATTTCCCTTCTTTCGAGTTTTAAACTTTTCAAGCTTTAGGTGGGGATTCAATTTTCAATATCCATCCTTGGTGTGCTTTGACTTCTTGTAATATTCACAAATAATCTCTTTAGGTTTTTCAAACATAGGAGGTTTACCAGAACTCTGGGTTTTGTGGACACAAGGGCAGTGTGCTCACCTATATGTACTTACATCATAGCATTCCTTCTCTCCTCATTCTGCACGAGGGAATATGCTGTGGAGAGTGACAAGATATCATCACTAAGGATGTGTTGCTTGGTGAAGTCATAGTCAGCATTCAGTCCAACAAGGAAATCAAAAACTTGGTTTTTCTCAATTTACTTTCTGTTTTGTTCAACATCAACAGGATCCTTCCACACCAAAGCCTTTAAATGATCAATTTCTTCCCAAATTGATTATAGGGAAGAGAAATACATAGCCACCGACCTCTCCCCCTGACACATATTACATGCTTCGCTCCTTAATTGATAGATTCTAACAATGTTTTTAGCTTGGGAATAAGTGGCAGTTAACCTGTCCTAAATATCCTTGGCTGTTGAAAGGAACATATAGTTGCGGGTGATGTGTGGCTAGCCTACATAAAGCATACAAGCCATGACATGACTGACAGATTATTCTGCTCCTATTTGGATCTTCAGGCTTTGGTTTAACTTCCTTACTAGTAATAAATCCAAGCTTACCTCTCCCACTGATTGTAGGCTTAGCTGATTGGGACCATTCAAGGGAATTTGTCCCATCAAGTTTTATGGTAGTAATCTGTCCACTGGCATTATCATTACCTCCCAGGAAGACATAGGTAGACACACGGACATCATTGTGTGAGTCCATTGATCACAATCCTTCCAAAAACAATATTTCTCATCAACACTACAGTATCCCAACTCTAGCTGAACACCCAAAACCCTTTGCCACAAGATTGAACAAGGGTTGCATCAATAAAATAAGGGAAAAACAGGTGCTGGTAACAAAATGGTGGAAGAAAAAAGTTTTCTCAAAAATGTTTTAGGGCTCCAAAAGGTTGAGGATCACTTCCTGCAGACTTAGTAATTTCCCACGATCCAAACACAAGAAGTTTTAAAGGCAGCCAACCCACCATATGAGAATACAAGCCCCAAACTTCAGATCTGGAATTTTCACCAATTTTCATCCAGAAAATCCAAAAAAAAAAACAATCTTAAACATCTTCAACCTACCATGAAACATATACCAAAATTCCTTTAAAATTGAGGTGCATCAATGTGCATAAAAAACACATAGGGCTGTACGGACTGTTGACGTCAACTGGTGGCATGCTGATGTCAGTAGGTTTGTCTGTGAGTCACGACCAGCAGAAGATGATTCCCTTGATCTCAAGGTGCTCTGATACCAAGTTAGAAGGTATTGTGTGATAAGAGGAAAGAAAAGAAAAAAGAGGAGAGAAGAAGAGACGAAGAGGTGTTTGTTGAGAGAATGAGGTGTGTTACTGTTCACACCTATAAACTTGATATTTTAACATAATGACTAAACTAGTGGAGGGGGCCCTGCGTTGCAGGGGCTTGCCATAAACTATTAGGCTCGAGCTTGATTCGAATTAGAGACTTGAGCTCGAGCTCGAGCTCGGCTCGAGTCAAAAGCTAGGAAGTTTGTGCTCGGCTACCTTTGATTGCAGGTCTCTCAAGTAGCCGAGGTGCCGAACTGAGGTCTCCCTCAATTTCCGAGGTGCCAAACCGATGTCTCCCTCAATTGCTGAAGTGTTGAGCTGAGGTTTCCCTAGTAGGCGAGGTGTCGAGCTAAGGTCTCCCTTAGTTGGCAAGGTGCCGCCGAGCTGAGGTCTCCCTCAGTTGTCAAGGTGTTGAGCCGAGATCTCCCACAGTGACCGAGGTGTCGAGTTGAGGTCTCCCTCAGTGATCGAGGTGTCGTCTAGCTCGAGCTCGATTCGAATTAGAGACTTGAGCTTGAGCTCAAAAGTTTAAGCTTGGCACGACTCGAACTTGACTACCTTTGATTGCAGGTCCCCTAGCAGTGAGCTGAGGTCTCCCTCAGTTGGAGAGAGAGTGGCATTCTTGTAATTTATAATGAGAGAGAGAGATGGCAGGAGAGAGAGAGAGAGTTGGTAGGAGAGAGAGTGGCATTCTTGTAATTTGAAAGAAATGAGAGAGAGAGAGTTGGTAGGAGAGAGTGGCATTCTTGTAATTTGAAAGAAAAAAAAGCAAAAGAGAGAGTTGGTAGAGAGTGGCATTCTTGTAATTTCTAAGAAAAAAGGCAAAAAATACTGTTAGATTCCATTTCCCTCATCCTCAGGCCTTCTTACATACACATTTCAGCTTAAAATATTTATATAGATTACAAAAGAAGCAACTAGTTGCCCTAATACAAAAACATATAAAAGGAAAAAACTGCCCTTACTCAACAATAGTATTACAGTACATCAAGATTCTCCACACCAAGTGTTGATAATTTTGTTGCATTGATGTGCTAAGCTAATTATTTGGCTATTTCATGTGGATGAATAACCATGGATTGAAACATGTAACTGGTGCTTAAATGTTTAGGAATTTACATTCCACTGGTCCTCTTCTTTTGATTTGGTGCATTCTAATTATCTACATAGGCCAATTTGTAGCAGTTCTTAGTGCCAATAGAATAAGTTATTTTAGGCATTAATTTTATAATTTTCAATCCACTTTGTAAATAATATTTATGCTAAATGTGCAGGGGGAGGTTTTCATTCGGGGAAGGAAGAGGCATGGTCTGATTAGTGACGAGGAGATAACAGGCCTTAGGATTGGTTTGGTACATCTTGTCTTCTATGTTGTATTATTATTAGTAGTATAGGGTTTGTCTTTCTGGAAAATAATTTGATGCTTGTATTTCCTTTTATTTTGATAACAGGTATTTCAGAGTGCTGCACTTTTTGATTCTTTAACAGTTCGTGAAAATGTTGGTTTCCTTTTGTAAGTGAAACTCTGCATTATCTTATAATTGATATCCACTCTTTTTTCCAGATCAGGAAGATTAATTCTTGCAATAACTGACATCATGCCTAATTTGGTATGCTGCTGGATAGGTATGAAAATTCCTTAATGTCCAAGGAGCAAATAGCAGAGCTTGTGACTGAAAATTTGGCTGCTGTTGGGTTGAAGGTATGGTTGAAAGGGCAACTGCTGTGCATGTTTCTAGCAATTTTATAAGGACAAGGATTTTTTTTTTTTTTT